TCCACTGCCACTCATTTTCTGCAGGGCAGAGCAAGGGCAATGGGAAGCACACGAGCAGAGAAAATCAGCAGGGAAAGTGGAGGTTAGGGCTACTTAATGCAAACAAATTGGCTGGGGTCTTCAAATGTTATTTGAACCCCAATCAACAATCAGAGCCTGGCTGACAAGAGCACAGTCTGAGTTGATGTGTCCAGCCATGACCAATCAAGAGGGCAAAGAACTCACCCTTATTTTGCATAATTATTGGAATCAGCAACCCACTTTGAACTTTCTTAAAGGAGGGAAATTAGGAAAAAAGTCAGAGCCTGCCACAGCTTCGGCTACAAAGATTAAACTTCCAGAAAAGATGATTTAGAGCCAGACTTTTTGATGTTTTTCAGACTTAAATAAGGACCATATTTAATATGAGATAATACATTATACTGACCATTACTGACCCTGCTATACCTCAAATTTGATCTTCTTCAACCCCAGACTAAAGCAATAATCGACTGCACTTCTACCTTTGCATTAAGAACTAAAAAACATTAAAAAAGAGCGTGTGGTAGAAGCCTGAGGGTAAGTGATGAGATTTACCTTTCAGGGCTTTTTATTCACTTTGTCTGTTTTAAACTCTCATGAGAACTAAACCGTTTTGTGAGCTTAAACTTTATGATCAAGCCAAAAAGTCAGATGTCTCTGTAGAAAACTGAACTTACACAGTGCGGGGTTCATTTAGAGGTCAGATTATTGTGCCAAACTACACAGCGTGTTTTAATAATTTTGTATTTTAGGGTATAGGAAATATGAGGCTAGTTTTCTTGTGCTTAAGCTTTTCTGGTGGAAAGCTTCAGGAAAGCTTCCACAGATGGTTCAGGCATTTTCGGTCAAAGACTGGAACAGGTGTACTGCTTGACATTCAGAATTATGAGAATCTGAAGAAACAAAATGAGAGGCTTTAGGTGAAAATGAACAAGATTGCAGCAGAGCGGGAGAAAAAAAAATGCTACTTGGAATGCAGTGCCAGTCTTAATCCTCGGACAAGCAGACTGGCTGTAACTATAGGTTTACAGATACCTGGTCTCTCCAGATCTCTTCAGTCAACAATCTGTTTGATCCTCTAGAATTGAGGCCGTATTAACGAATAATTAGCAAAGACTGGTTGTATTTCTGTGAATATGAAACACTGAAGACAAGTGCAGACTGCAGAAAAATGATCTTTTGTAATCAGGAATTCAATAATTGGAACGATAGTAGCGAGCACAATTAGCAGAGGGACTCAGAGATCAAAAAGGAAAAGGAGGTTGTAGAATACTTTATTGGAAAATAAACCTGACGTCTTTTCTGCAGAGCCGTCTGTAGGTGCACATGCATACAGTTTCCTGCTTAAAGCTCCTACACGCGTCCCAAAACTTTCCATAATCCCCCGCTTCCTGCTGCGTGTCAGCATCCTCAACATCAAATGAACACGACGCCTGCCATCTCTCTCTCTCTCTCTCGCTCCCTCTCATATGTCATAACATCAAAATCTGGTTTCAACCTCCGCCCTCCCAAAATCCTCCTTTTCTCTCCTTCAGTCGCTTCTTCCCTTTCTTTTGTCTCTTTAAAGCTTCCTCTTCAGGTTTCTTCTCACTCAGCCGTTTTGTGTGCTGCACGAGGGTGACTTGTTCTTGCTAAGACGGAGACAGAAGCATGATAAGAATTAGACAACAGAGTTCTCAAACTTTCTCTGTTGACTCTGTGATGTTACATCTGCTCTTCCTCTTCTCTTCTTTTCCGCCTCCCTCACTGCCCAACAGGCTGGAAGCTCTGATAAGTTAATAAGCAAAGCCTGTGCATTCAACCTCTACTGCTAGAGGCAGTATGACAAAAAAGAAAAAATCAATATCATAACTATCTCATATATTGACAACAGCTGTATCTCCCAGGCAGCTACAGAACCAGTCTGCACCAACACTCTGTTTAAACTCTGCTCAAACATTGAGGCATAAGCAGGAATGTGTTGCATGCTTGCACGGTTTTTAAAGACATAGAATTAACACAAAACGAGCCAAAAAATGAAGATTGTAATGGGGATGAGACATAGTCAAAAATGATTAGCTAATCGCTCCTAATGTCAGTTTTACAAGACTGACAAGAAGCTAAGCTCTCAAGCTCCCGCATCAACTTTCACCTCTTCTTTTACCTGTTCTTTTTCTTCCTAACACCTCATTCAAATGAACACAATCTTCTAGGCTTCAACCCATCCTTCATTATGTGCAAGTTGCCTGCAGGCTTTTTTTCTGAACAGATGCTTTTGTCATGACTTTCAGGAGTTGACTTTGCTGCCAGCAGTGTCTCCTTTCTCCGTGCCTCACAGGGCATCAGCCCGTGTGCTCTTAAGGCTCAGCTGTAGTTCACACCGTGTCTCTGTGAGGCTCTTATGTTTTCTACAATATGTCTTACCTGGGGAATGTGCTGCGTCTACATACAGGGGACTTTAAATACGTTTGCTTCTGGTTATTCTGTGATTTTTTCCCTATTTAGTTTGATACATTCAATGAAGAAATGGTTTTATTTGACATACTTAATGTTTAAAACGCTAGAAATAAATCTGAATACTGCATTATGACCTCTTCAATACAAGATAATATGGCATTCAATAAGGACTATTGAACCCCTATACTTTGGTTTGGACCATTTAAAACAAAGGGCTTTATCTTATGGTCAGCACACAAAGCAGTACACATGTCATTTATAATCTATCATCATAGGTTGTCATTATCATAACGGCCAGCACCCAAAGTTGTTTGACTTATTGTAAGAAGAAAATGTAGTTGTGCTCATCTGTGCGTCCATGTATCTGTCCTATAATGAGGTTTTGTCAGGAGTATTGTTATGTTGAGAAAGCTTTTAATCGTAAACAACCGCACACTTTCTAACTTGCAAACAAACTTTTATTGGCAACGTTTAAGTACTAGACCTTCATCAGGCAAACAGTCATAAACTGGAAGTGATGTGCAAAGAGGGAGCAGAAAGAGACAAACTAAATCCTGTCTATGTTAATACAGCAGTTTTCCCCTGTTTGAGCACATTATTAGGATCGGTTGGATCATCAGAGTTTATACTGCTAAACATTACAAACATATATTTGGGTCAGGCACTTTAGATTATAAGCTAGAGATCTATTTAAAAAAGCCTCATGTCATTAACATTCATTTGCATAATCCTTTTGAATATCACTATTGGGTTACAGCTTTAAGCTTCATAAAGACAATTTGTGTCACAATTATTTTGGTCATATTTCTAAGCCTCACTGCACTGTGTATAAATTAGTTTATAAAATAAAACGTTTTAACTTCAAATTTACAGTTTTAGTTTATTTTATTGGATCTTTTCAGACTCAAAATCTCAGTGCATCGACGTTTTATGTCAAAGGAAAGGGTTTCATACAGTTCAAGAGAAAAAAAAGAGAAGCTTTGAGAAACATTTCTTTGGAGACAAAAACTGTATTTTCATTGTAACCGATGTGAGATGAGGCTCAGATCTTTGAGTGTGTTGAGTGCACTGTGTCTGAAAAAATAACAAAAGCAGAACTGATTGATTAAAGTAATAAAATGATAAATCATGATATATGATTCACTTAGTACAGGGGTACTGCAGCTCACCCTGCACATTCCCCAGGAGTAGAAAAAAAAAGCTCAATAACTGAGAACTCATCCTACATTTACACTCTGGATCAAAACAGTAGGAATCATTACAGAATTTAAGACTTTAAAGCAAAAGTTAAAACAAGCTGTGCTCCTTTGGGTCCAGAGAGGAAGTAATGGCTGACAGCCCGAAACCTCTTTCTTTATAGAAGGATCATATATTTTACATCACAGAAAGCCTTTGAACCCAAGTGTGGGGGATCATTTCTATGGACTTCTAAAGAGTTTGACTGTCATCCCAGAGTAGCACAGAGCTGATTTGGGCCCCTGAGAACGTACACTGAGAGTACACTAGAACCCTGCACGCGCACATTGAAGAGTAAACAGAGCATCACACAATGCTATATAGACACACTGTTGCTATATTTACACCTATACATGCAGAAAAGTAAGAGGAAAACTTCTTTCTCTTTTTTTTTTTGTTTCGCATTCTTGTCCTTTACTCCAACCCCGATGGGAAATCATTACACCAGCCTTCTTAATATGCATGTGATTAATTAGGCATCTTGTTATTGCTGGCTAATCTGCATAGGACTCTCATGTTTAAAGCCCCTCTCATTATCATCCAGAAGGCCATCTCACAGGTGTGCTGAGTAAATATACAGCACACAGTAGTTCTAAAGACACACACACTCCTACTCAAACATGCATAAAGACATGTTCAAACAAGCTCACACACACAAGTGTGCTCGCTCAGGTGTAGAGACTCCCTGATACTTACACACAAGCACACACAGCCTCTGAATGGACACCCAACCAAGGCGCAGACGCCAGCCTGGGGGGGGCCAGGTTGCTCTCATACTGGTGGTCTGTGCCGACTCATTAAGAGCACAGCTGGGCATCAGCCTTACAGACGGGTAAGAACCCGGGAGTCCTCAGATGGGTGTCTGATTAGATTTTCTCACAATGTTCAAGAGTGTCTTCAAGCCACAACACTTGTTTAAAACCGCAGACTGATTTGACCAGAGTGCTCTTCCAAACTTTTTTTTCCTCTTCAGTCCTCAAAACTTTATAATCAAGATAAATATTTCCATCAGTCTTTCAAATATGCATCTAGAGGGTTTGGGGAATTCAACTTGGAGAAAGTGTAAAAGGAAACCATACAAAAAACAAAAACATGAGGGTTTAGCATAAAAATGAAAATATTCTGCACAAGGTTCTTTCTTCCACTGCTCAACAAGTCTGTTTTTCATGACACTTGCAGAAACGTTCTTTAATAAAGAAACACAAAAGTCAAATTTTCGTCCTTTTTTCCACCTTTTTTTGTTATCAAAAGTCAAGACTAAGAAATTGGGCATGATTCAAGTGCAGTTTAAAAAAAAGAGCACTCACTCAGGTTCCACTTGAGTCCAGTGGTTGTCGTAATGCAGGGTCCCCCTACTGGAATGAGGCTGCACCAGTCCCCCTCCAGGCCCATGTTCACCCCCAGTCTGTGGCTGCCCTGCTGACACACAACATGAGGGTAGAAATTAATGTGTGTGAGGCAATAACAGGTGGAAACACAAGTTAAACAAGACTTTAAAACCTTCTCCAGTCCCAAATGAGAAACTAAGCTTTTGCACCCATGCAGGGACCAATAGTCATTCAAATGAATAATTGCTCTCATCAATCTTGCCCACAGAATACATTTACTGTTTTTAAGTCTATTTAACTGTTCTCTCACAGTGAGTCCCAACTTTTTGTGCTGACCTACTATAACTTTATAAACTCAGCTTTGCACTTGCGCCATGCAGCACACAATCAGAATCAATGGGTAGTGTAGTTCTATCTGTCAACAGGGGAGGAAGTTTGTAAGAGTTTAGAAGTGTTAGGTAGAGATGAAAAAATGTTTTTGTGGCATGAAGTGATTTACAGAGAAAATAAACATGAACACAATTTCTAAATGTCATAGTTTCACTTTGAGAAAACCAGGGCTATGAGGAAAAAACACACACAATGTGTAGGAGCAGAGTGGTGTCAGACTCTCCAGACTGAAGAATGACTCTGCTGTGAGTGCACCGTGACTGATCCTGGAATGAAGAAAGGTCAAATAAAGTTTCTCTTAAGTAAAAACATACAAAAGAAATGCACAAAGAAACACTTCAGCCGTATTAAAATGCACACTAATGTATGTACTGAGTGAGAAAAACAAATATAAATTGTGTTAATTCAATTTGATTTACACTGAATATCTGCAGATTACAACCAGTGCAATTAGTGCTCAGACTGCCCTATCAGCTTTAACAGTATAGTATGTAGAATTTTATTAGAATGTTTACATTAAAATATCTAAATTAATTAAAATATGACTGAACCTATGTTAGATATTTTTTGAGTACTTACATTACCTCAAATATATTAACAGTTATCAAAGCCAGAGAAATCTGTAATTTTAAAGTGGTAACAGGACGTGTCTTGTCATGGCTGCCATGACAGATACAGTAGCAGAGAGAACTCCCATGATTCCTGGCCAGCCTAAATGTTATCTTTTGTTATTGTGTTGCTTGAGAGCCCCCTGGCGGCGAAATCTAAATACTGTGCCTTTAAGACGAAGCGCACAGCTCAACTCAAGATCAGCCATCTTAAGACGATCAATCAGACAAAGACAGCAAATACATTCACGCTAAATTAATAAACATAATACAAATAATGAACATGTTGCATTTTTTAAGACAGGGTTTTTTGTTTGATTGGCTGCTAACCTACAGGAAGGTATGATGGGAAAATGTGTTTTTATCAAAAGTTTTCCCTTACTAACACCGTGTTTTTGTTTAAGTGTGACAGAGTGAGACCGTGAGTGAGCTTCAGAGAGAAGAAGAAACTTTCATATCTGGACATGAAATACACATGTAATACAGCCCCTTACATAGGATGGTTCTTTCTGCATGTTGGTGAGCTAGCAGCTAACTGAACTTTTAAGCTGAGCAAGGAGAAGAAGAGACCTCAGGTGTTTACACTTTGTCATTTAAATCTGCTCTCTCCCTGACAAGATTCATTCTGTTAAAGGGCATCAGGAAAACAAGCCTGTATATTTGACCTGGAGTGTGTGCGACCACAGAATGATTTATAGCACTGATTGGGCCGATAGAGCGCTGTGCTAGATGTCCCACATACACAGAAGGAAGGCTTTGTGAAGCATCTTAAAAGGCAAGTAACATACCTCAGCTACATTTGAAAACGGAGACTCAAAAGAGCAAACAACAAGAGAACAATCGAGAAAACAGATGAAGTGAGAGCAAAGCAGGTTTTCTTTTTCTTTAACATCCATATTGGGTAAATGTAGCATCACATTAGGACCTACTTCCTGTGGTATAGAGGCTTGTGACAATCTATCCTTTGCATTGTCCCTACACATAATTAAATCAAAGACTTGAGAATGCAAAGCCCCAAGACGGAAGATAGCATGATAACACTTGAGACAGTGCACCTGGGAAAAAGCAGCTAAACTTACAGGCACAAATAAAATGACTGTGACTAAGGGCGCACTCACACAAGGCCCAGATGTCCCGTACCGTGTTTAAGTATGATTGCCCCCCCCTCCACTTTCCCCATCTGGCCTGCACTCACACTGCAACAGGACTAACCGGGCCTGAGTACGGTTACCTCTTGTACATAACGTCGTAATACTTGAGGGGTCGAGTATGCTTGAGCACAATACAGATTATCTAGTGTGATTGCGCCCTTAGACTTGCAAAGATTTAATTTGGAATGGAGAAGCATGTCTCACTTATTTCTAAATATTCATATTTCACTGGATATAGCTTAGATAAGTGGCTGAAGGTTAATTTTTTGCCTTATTTTCAGGTGACATTATCCACACTTGTCCACTTTGCTAAATGAAATCATTGGTCATTAGCTTCTGGTGTTAATTTTAATATGCATGTTTGTAACGGTTATGCATAGAGTCTATTGATTGCACCACTTAATCCCAAAACTGAGCCTGTAACAGAGTTGCGATACCATTGAATATGGGTGATGTTATTATTTGGCAAAAGTTATACATACTTCATTGCAGATGTAACTTTAACTAACAGCACAGGGTCTTTTAAAGGTTGCGTTCACCTTCATGCACAGCCGTGTGCATTCATCAGTCGCTAGCAAATTGGAGCTGCGTTGACAAACAAGCTTAATTTACCCTCACTGAAGTAAGATTAATTGGAGGTGTCGAGGTATGAAGCAGCAAATGACAACACGCCTTTGGAATAATGACGAGTAGTAGGGAGGAAGTGCATGAGAGAAAGGTTTACTTAATGTATTACAAGGTGTCACCAGGAAGTGTGACAGTTAGTTGTTTGTCCTGAGCATACAGCAAATAAACAACACAGGGAAAAAAAGGGGAAGGTGGGGTGTGCATCCCAAATGCTGGCTGCTTGGCCTACTTGTAAACTCAATCAACTGAGGAGCATGAGAAAGTGGCTGGCATTGAGGGAAATCAATTTGTAAGCATCAAAAGAGACTCTCTTCCACACAACAGCAAATTGGGGCACCATAAGAGCAGAAGTGTGTACGTGTTTTGTGTGTGTTCATGTGTGTGGCAAGTGTGTGTGGGGGTGGTACTTAAAATGATTACTTAACATAGACACAAAGTGTTCAACACTCCAATCAAGACAGAAGCACAGAAAGAAAACAAAGATGAAGAGAAGGACTGGCAGAGGGAGGGATGAGTAAGAGTAACAGTTGCTATTACAAGAGAGCAAAATGTTCATCCAGTAGGGTGGAAATACACGGCAGGGATGGCTGTTTGTGAAGTTGTTATAAACAGCTTTAAAGGTCACATATAATCCTCCTTTTAAACCAGTGTAAATAAGTCTCAGCACTCCCCAAAACATGTGTGTGAAGTTTCTCGCCAAGAATCCACTCTGATCCTGTATTTGATCATGTCAATAAACCCCTCTATTTCAGCCCTGCTCAGAACAGGCTGTTTCTGTGTCTGTACCTTTAAATGTAAATGAGCTGTGTCTGACCACGCCCCCTCTCTGGAAGGGCTTGGGTGTCTAAGTCTTTCTTGCACCATGCCCTATCGTTTACGGTGAGAAGGCAGACTCAGAGGGCAGAACAAACACCTAGCTGTGGGAGTGTCACCCACCTGGGGGAGGGGTTACTGCCCTTTGTGATGTCATGAAGGGAAAATCTCCAAACGGCCTGTTTGAGAACACATTTTCTGAAAAGTAGAGCAGGTAAAAGATGGAGGGATGGACTTTTCTCATAATTAGAGGGTTTGTAGACAAAATAGGGACACATACTGTTAGAAAAACATGGTAAAGTGTATTTCCCATAATATGTGACTTTTAAATAAAGTGAATAAGTCTACTTTTGCCTGATAAAAATGAATTGATCAGATACAGCAACATGTTTTATGGGGATAAAATCTAATTTAGTTTGATTGTATTTCACCTCACTTCAATGGATTGGACACAATTGCTTAATTGAGTTTTTATACCAACATGTGAAGGCTGCAGAGTGTGTGTTACAATCCACTCACAGGTCTGAGTAGGTACGCCAGGCTCGTCCCCTGTATGATCAACAAAGGGAGGTCTGTCATGGACACAGCGTGGAAGAGAGTTTCAACAGATGCCATGGTCTGGTCCAATCTGCCCGCCAGGCCGCCCAGTGTCACTATGGCATCCACCTGGAGGCACAGACAGAATTTGATTAGACACAGGCTTGACATACTGGACTGATTTCTGGAAGGATGGGTTTGTTTTTGTTTTTGTTAAACAAAAATCTGACAGGAGAAGCAGTAAAGCAGAAAAATAAGAAAATAAGTTTTACTGGCAAAAACGAAAACATGAAATATCTTCAGCCTCATCATCTAATGAAGAAACAAAAAAAACAAGCAGCACAACAAATGCCATTGGGAGAAGTAAAGATTCAGTGAGAGTAACAGTAAGGACTACGAGCTTCGGGAGAACACTGAGCTGAAGAAGAGATAACTATCAGTGGTAGATCAAAGAACACATTTGAGACGTTACAAAGAGGGTCAACATCAGTCTCTTGAATCAAGAGGTGAATTCAGCGAACCAGATAAGATAATTAGATTAAGCATCCTCGGAGCTAAAGGTATGTTTAAAGTTTGAGCCATCACTTAAGTACAATATCTACAGCTCTCAGCAGTTCCATCCTTACACAAACTCCCTGAGCAGTCAAGCACCCGAGCTGACAGCTTTAAAACCCAACAGAGAGAAGAGGGCAGAGGTGCTGTCAGAGGGTGACGACTGACAGTAACACCAGCACCCAAAACCAACAAAATACCATCAATCACACTCACATCAATGTTTTCACTTCACTCATACACTGCAGATTAACAGTAACTTCATTACCTTTGACTATTGTTTTTCTACAGCCTTACTAGGACGATACACACTCGCAGCCAATGATATACAGTACGGGTAAGACAAAATATTGATTTTAAAATATGTCTTGAATCGGACTTTTCTGATACAAGTATGAAATTGCTGCAAACATGGTGCTCTAAACTAATTTCCCTGCAAATTTGACTCACAGTGTCACCACTTCATGACTCCTCAGGGTGTCGGTGATGACATGAATGAGGGTAACTTTACTGAAGTTGATTAGTCAAAAGAGAAGTAAAGCGGGATAACAGAAGGTGAAAATAGTGGGATAATGTCCGACAGGAGAGAAAAGAAGTTGAGAGATAAAGCGTGATAAGATGTGAAACTGACACCAAATTGAAGAGGAACACATGAATCATTTTGCCCTTTTGTTCTTTAGTTAAACCTTCATCATTATGTTTCATCATGATTGCCTCAAAATATATAAATATGTACCAAATGGCTGTATTGTGATGGTATTGTTATCATAGACCAAGTTTCTTATCATATTGTGTTGGTGATTCCCTCTCCTGATATACTGATATACATTCAAGTAGAGTCACTTCTCAGGTTAACATTTTGAACTTACTCTAAACATATGAGCTACTTCACAAGATGTGTGAGAATCATCTCACTATGTGAAAGCATGTAAATACATTCTCCTATTTCACTGTTTTTATGCTCTCGATGCGAGGCAAATTCTGTCTGTGTTGGTTCGGTGCTCAGGCATTCTGGTGGAGTTTGAGATTGGGCGAGTTTAAAGCAGCAGGACTGTCATCTCGTGCGACGGGTTGGCTCATTGATACTGAAGCTGTGATTGGCTTTAGAACAATAGAGGTATATTGCTCAGAAGCAAAATCTCAATCTGACCTTCAAAACACAAAAACCTGCCAAACATGTCTTTAAGGTGTAATCTACATATGGACCTTTTTAAATCACTGAAGACATCTTCCAAATTCATCTCAGATGGCCTCTTCAAGTTTCTTTTTGCTTTACAAGAACTTTTTGTTAAAAACAAGAAAACCCCTGACACGACCAAAGCTGCTTCCAGAGGGAGTGAGGGGGCGGGGGGGGGGGGGGGAATCAAACACAGAGTGAATAGTTTCAGTGAAGGGGATCTGTCGGTTAAACATTCACAGCGAGTCGCCAAAGGACAGAGGACAAAAAGGCTCAAAGTAAAGAAAACTGAAAGAAAAAAAACAACAAAATGCATTGAGTGGAGAAAAATAAGTGTATTGTGTTTCAGCTTCCAATGACACAGTGGCTTGCTCTATCTTACCGCTTTGGATCAAACCTCTGTTGTGTTGGCTACGCATATCAAACTCTGTAAAACAGTTTGGGATTCTTATTTGTTCCTCTTTAAGTTTGTTTACTTAGAAAAACAACAAGCAGGGCAAGGAGAATCTGAAATGAATACTATTCAACAGGCTTGCACCGCAGATCAGACTGTTCATGCTCTGATTGGCTGAGAAACAGATAAGAGAAAACAGTGGTGCTAATCATGCTTGCAACGGTGAAGCAAGACAAGAAGCTCACTAGACAACAGAAATACACACACACTAATAAACACAACTTCAACAAGTACACACATTTTGGATTTTAAACCATCGCTATCTCACACACACACACACGCACACACACACACTAGCAAAGTACACACACACAGACTCACTTTTAAATGCATGCTTTATACACACAAACAATCACATACTCATCCACCCACCATAATCCTCTGATACCATTCTTTGTGACTTTGCCAAACATAATACAAGATAAATTCTCCAAATCGATGGCTAAGCTGTGTGGAGGAAAACATCGGGGGGCTACTGTGTTGAATCTTAAACAGCACAAACAGAAACACAATACTCTGTATCCTGCTAAATGCCCGGTGATTATTTCATCTATGTTCCCACTGTAATTAAACAGGAGACAAGTGGGTGGGAATAAGTGCGGGTGAGCAAATGACAAAATGACAAGGCAGGTTCAGAAATTGGATTCACTTTTTGATTTCACACTTGCAGAAAACCCCTGATGTTTCTAGGACGAGCTATATGTGTGAACGCAGACATCCACATTTTTCACTCAGATTTCAGTCAGAAGTCAGAGGGAACTGATGTGAGGACGCTGTAGGATAGTCTCCAGAGAATTCACCTCGAGCAAGTGGGAGAGGATGGTGACGTTTATATCCTGTGACCGGTGTACTGTGCATAGACTTTATGAACAAGACCGCTAAGATCTCCATGCACGTAATTAAACGGCTGCATTATGTTTCCTGTTCTCCAGGATGTTCTTCTCCACTCTTTTGTTCATACTGGGATTTTGTTGAACTACATCTAGCATTGATATAAAGGCAAATATTCTCATTATAGCATCATAGCAGACACTGTTGCTTCGTCCGCTACTTCTACATCTGTTTTTTTTTTTTTTTTTACCTCAGGAGACCCCCCGCCACCCCCCCCCCCCTGCCACCTGTCTGACAGGGATAGTCTCCAGCTGTGAGGAGCATATATGAACAGCCAGGTCAGGCGAATCTCCGGAGCAGTCCTCATGAAGTTATCTAGATATTTTCAGGAGTTCACATAGATAAATAGCTATACAGAACAACATGAAAACCAGATGCATTCAGGGTAATTCCGCTGACATTTTTCAGTCAGAATAGAAATGGAGTCAATCTCTGGATCATATCACCGTGTGTCTGACTCTGCAGCAGCTGGCAGGGCACAAGGGCTTTGCTCCAGCTGGCTCATATCCAAATTTTGGATAAAAAAAATGTAAGGGAATGCTTAAACACTTTCAAGATCACACCAAAATTAATATATTAGATATTAATTCCAGCAAACCACTTTTGCTTTGCATTTTATGTGTAGGTGTAAACACGGCTCAGGGAATGTTCAGTGTGCATGCATGTTTGTTTTTTCCCCCTGCAGCACACCGTTTCGTATTCATACACCCACAAACACTCACACCTCGCATCTGCCCACAGTCAACCACAGTCCAACTCTATTGACCTCTGAGCAACTCATCCTCAGTATCTAAGGACTGATTTCCTCGCTTAGGGGCATTTAACTCTCAAAGGCAGAGTGAGAGGAGAGCTTTACTTGTCCAAACGTATGCCTTGAAAATCACTACTCTGCTGCAAACACCCCTCCAGACCTGTCAATTTTTCTTCTTCCGGCTTTTAAGAAACAAACTGTATACAAAGTGTTAATGTGAGAGTGAAGTTACCTTTGGAGAGAGCCAGGTGAGTTGCTTCTCCCCTGCTCTAGTGTTGAGATGTGCTAACCTCACAGCCTCCTGGCTAAAGCGTCATATTTTGTTATTTTATTGCACAACCCCAGAGAAGTTATTTTAAAGTTGTAATTCGTTATTGTTGTGTGGAAAATGATATAGTGAGGGTGCTACGAGAGTTGAAAATGGCTGTTTTCACATCTACCATTCATTTGGCAGTAAAAATATCAGACAATATTTTCATAAATATATGAATCAAAATGAGAGCTTCATTTGTAGCTGATTTCTTACCTGTAGCTGCTGCCTCTTAATTTCCTCCAGCATGATTGCAAGACACTTGGTGAAGTCTGTATGATCCTGGTCTGCTGTTTCCATCAGCTTGCATCCCTATGTACAAACACAGGCAACAAAACACAATCAGATAGATGTACACATACACGGATAGTGGAACAAAACACCCAGGCCCAGATAAAGGATGGAGGGATAACACAGCACAGAAACACGGAGTGAGATAGAGGGATGGAGAGAGGTATAAATCAGTGTTTTAGTCTTGTCTCGCTGTCTGTGGGCTGTGTTCCTGAATAATGAAAAGGCTCCAGTCAGTGGCCTTAAAAGTACAGCAGGTAAACAACCACACTCCGGCTTTCTCTGCCCCCGTCTCCTTCTTTATCCACGCACTTTGACTTTCCTCCTAAAAAACACAAACTTCCCTATCTCACTCTCGCACACACACACACAGAGTGCAGTCAGCTCTGAAAAAACTTGTTTCGCTGTGCTCCGTTTGATCCCATCCATCCTCTACCCTCCCTCCATCTTTGCCTCCTCTTGTCTCTCTCGCTCCCCTGTGGATGCTTTTCTGTTCTCTCCCTTCCATTTATGCAGAATTATTCACCGTTTCTGACAAATCTCTGAGGGAACGCCTCAAACTTTCCCATTGTTCTGCTCCTAAAGCATCACCATAAAAGTCGGTTCTGTCTCATGGAAATAAAAGTCATGCTCAGTTTTTTTTTGTAGGCAACCTGTGATATTTGTGAAAAGGGACTAATATTACAGGCGGTGCAGAGAGAAGGGGAAAAGGGGGGGGGGGTAATGGCTGAAGCCAACCCATATCTCTGTATGCAGGTGTGTGATCATGTGTGTGTGCATGGTGTAGTATTAGATCCGCATTTCAGTGTGTATCGGAGGGGGTCTTATCACAGTAACTCAAAGGTTGCACAGGCACTACGTTTTCTTTTTCTCTAAGCCTCAGAGTCTAAGGTGTGTTTATGTGACACCTTACCCTCCATTTATTATGTGTTGAACCAAGCTTCAACCCTCAAGCGTTGTGCTTGGATGTTTTGCTCATCATAAAAAGTCCACTTCAAAGGAGAATTAGCATTTTTTGTTCTCATGACCTTGGAGAGTTTAGTCAAAAATATGCCTACATGGTGCAGTCTTTTGTACAGCTGGGGACACAGGGAGGAAGGACTGTGACGCAGGCTGCTAAAACTGCATCTTCAGCGTTTACATATAATAAAGGTAGAATAGATTTACATGCCATGATAAAAAGTATTTCGAATATACAAGGAGAACTGTTTGCCTTGAAAAAATGCACATTGCAGATCACCTTATGAATGTGCAGTCTTGAAAACGAACACTGTTTCCGACATCTTGGACACTTACAGTAAGACCCAACAATGACAGCTCACGGTCTCAAGTGCATGACATTAAAGTGCATTAAAGTGTTTCCTACTCATATTGCAACGGGCTTTTAGCTTTTACTGCTAATACTACATGTACTTTCACCATTATCACTGACATTGTAGCTATAAATCTATCTTATTCATTGTTGTTGTCACACTGTCTGTCCCTATCCTTCTCCTTCTTCTTTCATCTCCCTCTATCCCACTTTCTAAGTCAGACACAGTTCTGCAGATGTCTGTTCAACATGAGTCTGGTTCTGTTCGAGCTTTCTGCCTCTTGAGGGCAGTTTCCCCTTGTCACTTTAACTTAGCTAAATGTTCCTAATGGTGCTCATGATGAATCAATGTTTGGTCTTTGTAGCTAATATAACAAAGAGTAAGGTCTCTCACCTGATCTTTTGTAAAGTGTCTCGAGATAACATTTGTTATGAATTGGCGCTATACAAATAAAGATTGATTGATTGTATGAAGTCACTATATAAATCGTTGATTCGTTTTGGTCATAACATGAATCAAACTAACCTAAGTGACTCAATTCTGCTTAAAAGGGCAGGTGCACCAACACCTGGGACAGTGCTATTTTCTGTGCCAGAACATAGCCTTCCTTTTTTTAGACTGGCTTTGGGCCCAGTAATGTATTTTCTTCCATTGTGCCCAAAGTACAGGCAAAAAAACAAGCAAAAATACAAGCAGCTGATGATTGAGTGATTCTAAATGCATCTTGGAGAGCTCTGAGGGTTGACGTCGAGTCAGACTGCACGGTCATCCCCACTTTGATGACTCAGTCTGCAAGTTCTTTTCACTGCAGGGGGAAAGTCCTGGAGAGTCAAAAGAGCCACGTATCCCCAGCCCACTCCTCAGCTCTGTGTCCCTGACACACCACCTACACTCACAAAGCATGTTCCCTCAAACTCAAGCTGAGTTGACGGTTAATCTCCAGTTGAGTTCCTGAGAGTTTAATTCGATGAATGTATGACAGCTTCATCATTTTGGCAGAACAGATTTATTTGCATCCCACTGGAGTCAGTCATCTAGCGATTACTATAACTGCCTCATATATTCACTTTTTCCCCCTCAATCGTTATCTTTTTTTTTGTTAGTAAGTTATATTTCTTATTGTTTATACTGTATGTGTGGGTTTGTCCCTGTGTGTACACCTGCAAGTCAAACGTTTCACTCACCTTGTCTGTAAAGAAAGCCTTGACCTCAGCAGTAATGGAATCAAAATCCCCACTGATGTAGTCGGGGAGAAAGCTGGATGTGAGGATAGACAGAGAGGATGAGTGACAGAGGGAGACGGTTACAACCCCAAGAAAGACAGACAGACAGAAAGAGAGAGAGAGAGAGAGGACATCGTGTCAGCTCTTTGATCTGTGCAGCGAGGGAGACGAGTGACGGCACCCGGGGAAGGCGAAGAGACACGGAGACTGACAGGGTGATTCTCTGTTGCACTGAGGCTGCCCCGTTTTCACACACGTGTTGACTGCAGATATACAAAGATTGATGTACACACACACACACACACACACACACACACACACACACACACACACACACACACACACACACACACACACACACACACACACACACACACACACACACACACACACACACACACACACACACACACACACACACACACACACACACACACACACACACACACACACACACACACACACACGTTGAAACAGATAATCACCATGAAGGTATATTTTATCACACATACTCACACACACAAACAGTGCATGAGGTACCTGTTCATCAAATATTACCTGTTGTATTACACTGAGGATTCCTTATAAGAGCAGAGTATCGGTTTGCATAATGTAGGTCTCACTGCAATCTAAAGTTCTGACATGTGCTCAATCAGTGCAGAATACTGTAAAAATGACAAGTGAAACTAGGCTGTATGAATAATTTATGTGTATATTTTGAATTTGGGGTTATTTATTTTGACTTCTGAAGTGGGTTAGTGCACAAAGTGAGAAAAAAACACATGCAGACGTGTGTTACGGTAAGTTTGAATGTGTAAACATCAGTCCATTAGGGTCTGGTTTCAGAGGAGCAAACAGGGTAAAATGTAAAGATGTATACATTTGTATGAGCGGCAGTGCTTGCAGTTAATATGCTAAATATTATTTCTAATAGAAGTTTTAAAGTTCTGAGGTGCTTGAAGGATGCATATGGATTCATTTGCAGGTTTATGACTCATCTAATCCAGAATTGCAGAACATGGCACAATAATCACACAATATAGAAATACAGACAACTGGTGTTAACAACATGAACATGGAGAAAATGAGATGTTAACACATGCAATTAAGTGGATAACTGTACAACTAATAGAGATGAAGTTTGGGAATATTAGTGCATGGGCTCAGCATTCTGAAAGCAAACATCCCTGTGTATTTAATTCATCCAAATATAACTAAATATAACTGTGTTTTGAGGAAACTTGCATTCCCATGGCGTAGGAATTAACGAGGTCTGTTACAGAGATCAGTGAAAACAGGCCAAAAAAATAATCTCACAGCAAAGTCTGAGTGTTGCATTGCTGTCAGAGAGAGACAGATAGCTCTCCGTGTGTGTGTGTGTGTGTGTGTGTGTGTGTGTGTGTGTGTGTGTGTGTGTGTGTGTGTGTGTGTGTGTGTGTGTGGAGCAGGACCACGCAGAGATGTGGTTGCCGCTATCTGGAGGCATTAACAGGTCTGACATTACGATTTCATGGCTGGTTGGGTTGTCTGCTTGTTTGTGTTAGCGTATGTGTTTGCGGTGTGTTTGTTTATCTGTGTGTGTGTGTGTGTGGTTACTCTGTAAGAGGCGAGAGCGATGTTCCGGTTGGTTGAAGAAGGAGATACAGAAGGATTATTCCCTCCCTCTCCGTCGCGGCATTCCCATTTACACCAGCAAGATACAACAAGAGAAACAGAGCAGCAAATGTAGACAAACACACACCACGCGCACACACACACACACACACACACACACACACACACACACACACACACACTTTCGACAAAAGCATGCATACAGACAATCAAATGCAACCCAAACAGTGGCAAAAAAAAAAAAGAAGCGATTTAATCCAGGTACACATCTTCTTTGCAGAAACAAAACACATTCACAGGCAGAAAATAAGTACAAACACAAAGAGACACACATAAAATATGCACATAAGTTTGAAAATAAGTATAAAATCTACTCTACACTATAAAACATCTTCACCCAAAAGTAACCTCTATGTGACAAACAGGATGAGATGTGACTTTGGGCCTGATCACTGCTTTGCGCACACACACACACACACACACACACACACACACACACACACACACTCACACTCACACTCTCACACACACACACACACACACTCACACTGGGCACACACACATCTTGTTGTGACCCGTGTGCATGACTCTATCGGCTGATAGTAATTGACCAGGCGCAATTCTAAATTCTTTATTCATTGGTGTGTGTGTGTGTGTGTGTGTGTCTGTGGGTGTGTGTGTGGGTGGGGCCATCTATGCTGTTTGCGTGTGTGTTATTTTGTCGGCGTGTTGTGTGTGTGTGACAGTCTTCACTTCCACATTAATATTAACTGACACTTTAATTTGGATGGGAAATAGAGCATTTTACCGCCGGTTTGTCTGAGGATCGGGTGGTGGCGGCGGTGGCTGTGTGCTCTTTGCCTGTGTGTACGTGTTCAACCTGCTTGTTGTGTCTCCCACTTTGCATCCTCATCGCCTGTTTTTGTCCACTAATAAACAGCTCTCCTTCACATGCTTTCTCCGCCTTCAGACCCGCGTCCAATCTAGTCTCATTTCCACTCTGCCATGCATTCTTTTCTGTGTAACTACGGCAACTTCCTTCAAAGTAACCATCTCATTAAGATAAAATAAACAGGATATTTCTATTTCTGACTGATCCATCCACATGAACACTGTTGTGTTGTTTTCAATCCTTCCCTCATAGCTCTCATAGTCTTCTGATCTCCTAATTGAACTTTCCATCACTTGTGGAGATGTGGCTCTGATTACTCCTCTCATCTCCCAATCAGAGATGGAGAGCTGGTGGAGGGGCGGGGAGTTATCTTTGATGACATCAATAACAACCACGATACAAAAAAAAAGAGTCAAACAAAGAACTATGACATGTGGAGGTCTCAGACTCTTCAAAACACTGAACTGACTGAACACAAAGATAAATTTGGAAAGGAATTCTGAACATGAGACATCTGATTTTTCACTGGCCTTTACTCCAACATCAACATTCATGTTTGCATGCACAGAACACTCTACACATTGTGTGAGTGTGTGTGTGTGTGTGTGTGTGTGTGTGTGTGTGTGTGTGTGTGTGTGTGTGTGTGTGTGAGTTAGACAAAACCAGCACATGAACTCCTGACGAGAGCTCGAACAGGTACTGGCATTATTTAAAGACTTGAGTCTACACACCAGAAGCTGTTTCAAATTACATTTAATGAAATGTATCACCACATGTGACGTTTTCAGGCCCCAGCCCTTCATCAGACGTGAAACAAAGCGTCACATGTGGTGACAAATTCCAGAATTTAAAGACTAAAAATCCTCACACACTAAAGTTTGTCTGTCTGTTGAGTATAAAAAATAAAAAGTGCAAAGAAGTAAGTGAAACATCCGATTACAGACAAATAGAGAGGCTGTCAGAGAGAACTCTTCGGCACTATGTCTTATAAAATAAGTCACCTGGCTCTTGACACCTTGATTTGCTTAGTCTGCCGCCAGTATCCTCTCCAAACCCAACTGCTTACGAAGTGCTGACACAACTGTGAGCTGAAACGCTCTTCCATGTACAAAACTTCTGCATCGACGACTACCTCTACACGTACAGTTGCAGATATAAGGACGCACTCATCGAACATTTCAAAAAACTCCTGCTGTGTTTAATTATCTTATGCCACAGTGAGCACCGTCCTGTCCCCTGTTCATCTATCTCTTGACTTCTTATCCTCTCACAGGATTTGATTACATGCATGAAATAAGACAAAATGGACTTTTCATGTAGAAATGACACAGGGTTAGATTTACTAGAAAACCAAAAGGGGATCAGCTCTGACAAAAGTCTTCATAAAAACATTTGAAGTCTGGTATCTAATGGTGATAATTTATGGTTATTAGTTCATTTAATTTGATTCAAGGCTGAAAAGTGTTCATATAGGTAATTTAAGTTTTACAGGTTTTGTTGGGTGTCACAAGCTTATTGCCTTTAACCTGCTTCTTTCTGATGATAAAGCAACATCACACCAGAGGGAGTGGTGTACTCTGTATCATCATTTTCACACGCTCTAGTTTCTTTTTCTAGGTTTAGAAGTAACTGGTGACTAGTTCTTTTGTATTGTGCACATTCATTTGTGACAAGTATTTTGACATGGCTGCTGTTTTATCATTGACCACATCTCCAACAATCGGTGTCCGTATAGGTGTCCACCATTCGCTGTCCTTAACAATCTCTCTGCTCTGCATGTGTTCACACCGACTGAGGGGCTTATCCATGTGTCCAGTGTTGTCCCTGAACGTGCAGGTGACCATTTTACCCAGAGTTGCTGAGCACTGTGTGCACAAAATCAGATATACGTAACTCAGCCTGCACCCGACATGGAATGCATCCGGTATTCTTTTTGAAGTAAAAGCCAGATCTGTTATTTACTATGGCCTAACTACCTGCGTTTTCACAAAATGCCTTTTATTCTGAAGAAGAACATGCAGACAGTCAGACATGAAACACCACATCCATTATCCCACCCTGACCAAACACACTGATGTTCACTATCTGGGTGTTAATGTGAAAGCCTCCACACTTCAGGGACACAGTAACCCCATCTCTGTCCTGACAGCACTCCTCCATTAGACACACACATTTTCTCACACACACATACATACACACGAATGCACGCACGCACGCACCTATCAAACCAAAAAGAGCTGTTGAAAGCATTGTACAGTTTTGCAGTATCATCACTAACATCATCTTACTCAAACTCAACAGCATGCACAGAGGACGACGTGTTAGTGGAAACAAAAAGTGCACCAGCTCACCTGTCTCTGGCTCCAGCAGTGATGTCATAGAGATGATTGGCAGCTCCATCAGCACATGCTCTCAGGAGAGCTACAGAAAGATAGACACGTGGATACTTTAGCCTGTGTGTTAATTTAGACCTCCGTTAGGTACTTTGAATATAACTGTGAAGTTCCATTTCTGCATTTGAGAAGATACGGCCCCTTTGGAGTGAAATCAGTACTGATCCCTCCATATGACCGGCGAAAACAAGCAAGACCTTCAGTTAAACGATTGATTATCTCCATATAGTAAATGTTTTACGTCTGTAACCTATTGTCCTCCAAGCCAGCAGCCAGGTTGACTTGTGGCCTCTTCTCATTGTCATTCCCTCTTTCCCGATTCTACACTCTATTAATTGTCCTGTCAAAGGCAAAGCCCAAAAAAACAGACTTGTTCAAAAAAAATTCATTGCAGAGGCTTGTTCAAAAAAAGAAACTCATGTTTTTGAGAAGTTATTTTCAAGAAGAAGTCTCTTACAGAAAGAGTAATGTTATACACTGACATAGAAAAATGTACGTTCAGCAGAATGAGCGATGGTAGTTTCGCAAAATAGAAATACTTACTCCAAAAAACCCATCAGCCTTTTCTGATTGTGGTTGAACAATTTAAGTGGAAGCAGAATGAACAGTAAGTGACAGAGTGCTTTTCTGTCCTTTTAAAACAGACATTCAAGTGGTTCTTTGCTTTTTAAAATAATACACTAAATAAGATGCAAACTACTTGCAAATGTATGCTCTTTCACGTCCTCTATTCTATTCAATTTGAACAAGCTGCATGCTATTTGAGGGTGCTGTGATGCACACAGAGGTAAAAAAAAAAAAAAAGGAACTTTCTCCAGCACCCTGGTTAAATCTAACTCTGCCCCAAAGAGACGGGAAACTGTGGTGCGCTTGTTTTTAGTTTTCTGTCCCCTCATCAGTTTTCTTTGTTCCACTGTGTCCATTCCCCAAACCCATTAGTGATGGTTCACATGCCTGTAGGCAAATTGTGTGGTTGCAAAAAATAACAAGAAACGGTGTAAGAGAAAAATCTCTTGTCACAGCTGTCTACTACACATGTGATCAAGTCCAGACTCAGAGTCTAGGGTAACACATTATAAGAAAAAACTTAAATTTCACTCCCCACTGTTCTACACACTCACTCCCCTCTTTGTTCTGACCAGTTAAGATGCTGTGTTGCCTTCAGAACAGACTGACTTCATAGCGTCAGACCTTTTAGACAGTGGTTTCTTGTAGAAACTTGTAATCTTTGCCGATGTACTGCTGATGAAACTCAACATACCAAGCGTTGATTCAACAATGTACAGTAGCACCTCTATTGAGATGTTAACATTTTACACATTTCTCCTCCTCAGGGTTCACACGGTCAGGACAAAAGTAGGTTGATGGTTTAACTTGCATTACTTCCATCTTCACTGATATTATCTCTAAAAATCACACTGCTATCATAATGACCGTCAAATCTTGGAGTCACACCTGACCTACATGCATTCATTCAAATACCCAATCGCTCTTACATTTGCTAAAGTAGACTAAATAAGCATGAATGATGATTCATATAGAGAGGGGTATCCTTCTTCAACTATCCGTGCCCTGAATGCTTACAAAGTGAACATTGCAGACCAATTTGCATCGATGTATACTCAAGGTAACGTTTCTCTTCATAACCCCAGCCACATGCTGATGTTGATGTTTCACGTCAAGAAATGATTGCAATGTAAATGACTCATTATCTCCGACGGAGTGCAAAAGGCTGAGAAACTTTACAAAAGACAACTTCTGTACAAAACAGACAATCAGCTGACAAGCCTCCTGATGGCAGGCTATCAGTCAGTATAAACATCTGACAGTATAAACATCTTCAGACTGTCAATCATTTATAAAACTATGTTTCTATGGCATGCTCTTAAAACGCACACAGACACACAGCTCCAGTGAAATACAGACATCTAATGTATTTCTATAAAGTGCCTCTCAAGTAGGCGGCCATGTTTCGAAATCACCAACCTACTTTCAATTATTTGCCATATTCCTTTCCTTGCAATATGTTTTCTTGTAAGAAGAGTTTTCATAAATATCAATGACAGATATATACTTTATGTACATCAAAACATCTGCTCACATGAAGTCAAACTGCCAATCATTTACAATTCTGTGATACAATGCAGCCTTTGCTGCCGTGTTTTAGTGCAGCCTTCCACCTTATCAGTTAATTTATTGAACATGTGAAGATAATACAAACACAAAATAAAAGGAAAAAAACAAAAAAATAACAAAACTGGATCCTCAGGATCCATAGCAACAAATATAAACTCAAATATTATAGTTCATGTTCAAAAGGGAGAGGAAGAAGTTAAAAACTTTTCTGGTCCTACCCCTTCTTATTTTTGTGCATTATTCACAGAAAAGAAAAATGTTTTCATCTATCAGTGTATGATGTTGGACTTGTTGGCCAAAACAAGTTAAGTTTTTAGACAAAACAACAACAAAATAATGGGAACAGATTAACCAAGACCATCAGCCAAGAAATAACCAAATAGAAAACAGAATAACGGAAAATCACTGCTCCAGCTCATACCTATTCAATATTTTATTCCTGAAGAGTTTTTTTTAGTTTAAATATACTGTTGCATTTTTTCAGCTCGTCATCATAGTTGTTCCACAGACTAACACCCTTAGTTGTTATACAGTAAAGTTTTGCATTAGTTCTGATTGGTGGTTATGTACCTGTATATTAACAACCCCTGATAAAAGAGCTAACATCTGGAGAAATGACAGCTATTTTCTATGAAACAATTCAGACTCAGTGGGAATTCTGGGCAATGAGCAGTGACACATCACTCAGTGAAATCCATATTTTTACCAACTATAGGTTTATTGTTAACTCTTCAGTAAAGAGCCTAAACTGATTTTTTTCTCAACGCTGAAGACACAGTCAGAGTTTAATTAACCGAAATGATGACTGTTTGAAGTACACATTCAACACCCTAACTGACTCCGTCTCCTCTCACTCTTCCGAGCACTTGAGTTTAAACAACAAACCACAATCAGAGACGTGGATGTTCTATGAATCCTGACTGTGAGCTGAGTGGGGACAGCAGAGGCGGTCAGAGGCGATGACCTTGTAAGTTAACTAGCCTGTAATCCCTCCCTGCAGGCTTCACATCCTCCTCACTCCTGTCACTCACTGTGCTGTGTGATAGATACATACGGCGGGCAGGAGATAATGCACTTCCACACACAGCACTAAACCTGTCATTTCCCTTCTTTTTAATCATATATTTCACTGTTGAACTCGATGTAGAAAAGATGCATGTCCACGTTCCATGCACACACTGCTGTGGGGTATATTCTTTTCTATGGTGAGACGGTATTGATGAGGTTAGTGGGGAGGATTAATGCCTGTCAGGTTGGAGCTTTGGTGCAGTACAGTAGAGGGCAAACAACCACAGAAAGCGGTGAAAATATTATTATCCTTATTATGATGCCCAGACAGCCTCCCTTCATCTAACAGTCCACCTTTACCCCCCTCCATCTGTCACCGTCTCCTGATCCACCCGGCTCTCTGCACCTTGCTTTGAATTTGATTGATTTCCTGCAGAAAACATCTTATTTTCTTTCTCTCTCTCTATCTCCTCAATTACTATTTATTCATGGACCCTTTCAATGCCTTGTTAAGCTCGGTGGCCAAAATGTGTCTATGATCTCTTTGAATCAATCCTTGCTTATAGCTTCAGATATAGAATTATACACAAACCTATTCTTAAATGCAGAAGTTCAGGAAGTGTATAGCCTTGTTTGCAAGGTTGCTACACGACTAGCTCATGGGTAATGTTCATAAACTTTGTCTTTGGCAAGCTGCTCTATCAACAAATTATTCAGGCTTTTGTTTTTACTCTAAAGAGAGAGAAATGCCTCCTCTGACTGCTTTATCGATTCCCTTGTTTGTGTTACATTGAGCAAAGGAAGATTTGTGAGTAATTAATGAGTGGCTTATTCAGTAGACGAGTTAGTTGGTAACTGACTAGATTTAGGGAGTGGGTTACTGATGGACCAGATGAGTGAGACTTCACACTCTGCACCTGTAAATGAGTTTCTCTTTGATCAGTGTTGCGCTCTTCTAGCTTCCCTTCACTCCCCGCTGCTCGACTTCTCCCACGGGTGATGAGGGGGCCCAGAGGCAGCACATCAGAGGACCTGGGACTGCTCCATGTCTGTATATTGCGTGTACACATGGGCACCTGGCTACACCGCCTGTAGGTGCAAAGTCATCTGGAGAGTGACAAGTTCATGGGTGCACTGACATCTGCTTATCTCATAAATAACTTTAAAAATACATGCCGTATCGAGTGCGGCATATCACATTTGCTACCAGCGTTTTTTCTTTTTTTTTTTTACCATCACGCTGCAAGAGATCTGAGATATGTGATGCACGCAGCGTCATCACTCTGTCAAAACTTCTTCAAGTCCCATGTGCACTGCTGCCAGGAGCCAAACTGATCAAGAAAGCTTCCCGATTTCTGACATCCACACCACAGCGTAGCTATCGGCAATTTTTAGAAGCCATCAACAATCTCTCAAACTTTTTTTTTGTAAGCAGACTTCCTTAACTGGGAGCAAATGCCTGTTCACGTTATCAAGCTCTATCATTCCCTCAAAGCACATGTGAGTCCAGCTATATCAAAGAGGGTGCCGAAAAGGACAAGTGGCTGTTTGGATGATTTGATACGATGTCTACCATTAACAAGGACAGCAAAGTATGAGAGAAGCAATCAGCTAAAGATATGCAATAGTCCACAAATACATTGATGTAAAATTGAATGCATGGAGAATTCAATGTTGGTTACACTTTGCTGATCTGCTCACCGTTTGGGAGAGGATATTACACCCAAAATATCAATCTACAAGCACTGTTGAGGGTCAGGGATAGTCAACAGGGCAATACAGAATCTCTTGCACGTTTAATATCTCCCCATGCTGGTAGCAAACGGACAATTTAAGCTGGATATTGAAAAACTGTCTTCAATTTAGATTTGGCCAGCCCAGAAAATAATACAAATGGGTTTTCAAATGCATTTCAAATCATATTACAGAAGCAATTTTCAGAAAACAAGCACTGTGATTTCAAAGGGCTATTGTGCAGATATTCAGAAAACTGGCCTCTGTCTATGCTGCATGTACAATGTTAGACATGGATGGGATTAAGCAGCAATAAATCCATTCCCATTGCATTTATTGAACTCTGAATGAATGTGTTTGAATTAATTGTTTTCTTAAGGCCCCAGACAGCCTTGTAAAATCAGACAAGGTAACTGCTTTGTCTAATGGCATTAAACAGTTCAAAGGGGAGAGACGCATGTATTACAAGCTCTTTTCTGAGTTCTGCATGCTCCAATATGAGTGTACTGCATCTTGCTTAAAAAGTTTCAGCCTCCCTTTATTCCGCCAAAAAGTCTTCTTGTCTAACCCTTTGTGAAAACGTTCTCCCCCACCTTCCCTACACTGATGGTGGCCTGCAGAGTGATTAGGCTGAGTGAAATCACCTGAGCTTAATTGGACAGAGTGAGGCCAGTTGGGTTGTTTCTTGTATAAAGCCAGACTCAGCCAGAGTCTGGGGGGAAATGTGTGTTGGTGGCAGCTTGTTGTGAGGCTGTGTTTTCTTTCAGTTTATTTAGTTGTTTTATTAGATTACCCGGGACTTTTGTTTTTGCTGTTTTGTCCTATTTTTGGTTAATAAATCAACCACCTTATTTTGAATCGATTTCTGCCTCCTGACATCTTTTTGCTCACCACCAGTGCCGAACAGCCACACTTAAATCCCAATTTTGATGTTGACTTACAATCAGTTATGTTACACCCATGCATAAGCAAGGGTTGTGCCTCAATGACAATCTTTGTAGTGAGACACATGTGCTTGCTTTTCAAACCCTGCTGTAAGCAGACAGTTTCTGGTGTCTGCAAGAGGCCCAACATTAATAAGAAACAGAGTATGTGTTGTTATTGACTGTGCTGTGACTGAAAAGTCCACATTCCGAACAAAGGAGTCCGAAGTCCAGTGAGTTTGTTTATATCGACTCTGTCTCTGCTCATCTGAGTGGACCGGGTGCTTACTGCCATTACCTGTGTGCACATTATTTACCAACCACTTATCTGTAGTGTATACACACACAAACACACACACTTGATTGTGTCTGAATGGATATGCTGCCACTTTACCTTGGGACCTTAGAATAGCTAAAAGCCAGCATTGAATGGGATTAAGCATCTGTTATGAAAACAAGTTGTACAGTTCAGTAGTTGGCTCAGTGCTATGAAAGCTGCTGACCTATGAAACAGATGAATAAACACACATAGCCGTTTTCACATATGTACTCCGGATAAAAATCTAGATATTTACAGGAGGACTTCTCCGGAGATTCTCCCGAACTAGCCGTTCACATATGCTCCTCACAGCGGGGGACTTTCCCTGTCAGAGGGAAGGGGGGGCGGGGGGATTTCCCGACGTAAGACGTGACGTAAATAAACAACGTGGAAGTAGCGGCCGTAGCAACAGAGTCCTCTACGTTATAATGAGAATATTTGCCTTTATATCAATGCTATGTGTAATCCAATGGAATGACGACATCCACAAAAGAGAGGAGAACAACAAACTGACGAACAGAAAACAGAATGCAGCTGTTTAATTACGTGCACGGAGATCGTAGTAGTCGCGAGCAGACACTTTAGCCGGTCACTATATAAACGTCATTCTCTTTTCATTGGCTGGAATTGAAAATCTCTGGAGTATATGCTGCCGCATTCAGACATCAGCTCACTCGGATATTCTGCGGATAAAATACTAGGGGTCTGGCAGGATAAACTCCAGGTAATATCGGAGTAAAAAATTTGGCTGTCACACATACAGCTCCTCCTGGAAATCTCTGGAGTTTTTCAGGAGATTTCCGTATGTGTGAAAAGGGTTATAGAGAGCATTTAGGGAACAAGGTAGCTCTCATTTGTTCACATAAAAGAGAGCCTATGTATCAAATGAAATGACCTTGTTTCTGTTCGTCACAGATTGTCACTTCTTGATGCTTGTGTCAAATCAACGTCTCAAAAAAAAAGCTGTGATTGCAACTGTATGAAAATAATCTTTGTTGTGATTATAATCCTTCTGAGCGCATGCATCCACAAGAACATAGAACAAAAAGGTGGAGTTGAAATGTGGAATATAGGGCACAGAGAGGGGACACTTTCACACGTTCACTGACATGGCAGCAGTAAGAGTTTCACACAATGGCGGCTACACAGACTGGTCAGCACAAGACAGGAGAATATCATTGTGTGAATACATGCTCAGTGCTTTACCAGGGCAGACAGGAATGATGTGATCCAAGGGTTTGTGATGTGGGAGATATACCTTTACTCCAGAGGACTTGTAGGTAGTCCTTATCAAGAGGCTGGTTCAGAATGATCAGACAGATCCTCTGCGTGCCTGCAACACATGACAGAGGGAGGGAAAAGTATGAATCATTCCCAGTCAGACAGAGACAGGTGATGGTGTTTAACAGCCTTGCTGTATATTTAGCCAAAAGAAACACATGACTATTGCTTGTTAAGGAAATTACTTTGGGCAGCTGTTTGTGGCACTGGGTTCACCAAATGAAAGTTGTTGTTGAAGTTGGAATAAGTTAGAAAAATAAGCCTTTTAAATTGGTGTTCATCCATTTATTTTAATGAAATGAAAAAGACTGTTTCTCAGTGAGGTCAGTGAGCTGGGCTTCTCATAGTAAAGGCTGGTGGATTCATCCTGGCTAAATAAAAGCCACCTTCCATTTTCAGTTTTTTCTAGCTTCAGGAGGTTTTCAGAAATTAGGTCTTCGATAAACTCACACTCATTTCAATACCTTATCCTCGATGAAACACCATCTGTAACTGAAAAACCAAACATACTGTAACAGAGGAAAGCCCCTTCCAAAACAGGAACACTTTAAGGTAACAAACCCTTCTTCTAGCGTCGTGCTTTTCAGTCAGTCATAAAGATAAAGAGATGAAGATAAACTTTATTGATCCCCCCGTGGGGGAAATTTGTGCATTACAGCAGCTCCAGAAAAGTCATCCTGAGTCATCCCACTCAAAGCCCAATCTATCTGAATGTTAAGCATTTATTTTTCTTGTCTGTTAGAATTGTCATTTTTCTTTCTGTATGGAAGCAAAAAAAATTATAGTAGAAATCTCTGCATATATTGAAAGAGTGAAAACAATAGACCAAAGATGAAGCACAAACTCACATTCCCTGATCTTTACACTTCTTGATTTATTTTTTTCACCTTCGCTTTCTCACCATTGCTCATCCATTTTCAAACTAGTTGCCTTCTGTAGAAAAGCCACAACGCTAGACACAAGCTTTAACAACACATTTACACTATTGGATTCCAGTTTGAATCGCCACAAAAAAGGCACATCTTATAAAGGTTGAAATTCCCTATACAGTTTTCCTTATCGATGGTTAATGCAGTGGGATGCCAGTGAAAGCAACAGTGAAGAGGAAAGAAAAAGAACACACTGATGAATATGACTCACCTTGAGTCAAGAAACCTTTTCTTTTTGGAATATTTAACCTCAGGTGTAAAGAGCATTTTGGCTTGGCTGAGGAGGTGTGACGAATTAAAAAAATAAAAAAGAAGTGTCCTCTGGGTTTGTGACTTTGTTGCTGCAGCAGGCTTGATGTTGTTAAAAAGTTCACATGACTGGAGGTCATTTCCAATATGAAAGTCAACCCCAGCAGAGTGTGTTAAAAAAGGAAGAGGGAGGGAAGAGGGGATAAAGAGGAGGATGAAAAGAGAGGAGGGGTAGGTGAGGAGGAGAAAGAGAAGAGGAAGATTTGTCACTCTTGTCTCTTAATTGGCTCGGGAGTGTACAGAGAACAAAACACATATTCAACCAGGCGTGACTTTTCAGATAACCCCTCGTCACACAAACGCTCGCCTCCCCGCACACACACTGGAGGTGCACGGCCTTTTCTGCACTCTGTTCAGAGATATGTCACCTTGGGGGTCTCATAAAAGTGCTAGACAGCATAAATAGAACAAACACAACCCAAGCACCTAACCGAGCACATAGATGTTCCAGGAAAAGACATTCATGATTTAAACAGGGAAATGTAAAAAGGCTAACCATGCACACCAGGGATGTTAAAAAGCAGACATCCAGGGGCTGTTTTTTTAATCTCCTATGAGAGTTTAGATAAGCATTTTCTGCAAGAGATTAAACATAAGACGAGATAAAGATATACAGTAAACGTATGAAGTGAGAAGTGAGAAGAGTTCCCTGTATTATACAGTTTATATTAACAGTGTAGTACGGGGAATTTGAAGACTATATTTCACCTATGATAGCAAAGGATGGATTTATCAACACAATTAAATCATCAGGAGTTTGTGTGCATGCCTGCTATCCTCCTCCCTCCCTTCTTTCCTTCCTTCCTTCCTGCATTCATTCCTTTCTTCCTTCCTGCTCCGGTCTCATCTGTAACCATTTCCATTTTGTAATTATTTGCACACCCTGTGAAATCTGTAGAATAAATCTCAGATCTGTACAGAGAGCAAACCCAAGAGCAGCTGTAACGCTAAGCTAGTGTGTTTGAGTAAAGAGCTGCTGATAGCATATTCTCAGGAGGGTGTGTCTCTAGACTGACGTTGGTCTTTGTGTGTTATTGATTTTTGAGCTGTACAAGCAGAGACGATCAACACCACCTCTGTGTCTCTGCTCCAATGAAACCCACAGGTGTTACAATGTCAAGTAAATACAAACACATGTACACAAGCAGAAGAACAATTGCACTGACCTTTGGTAGTTTAACAAGATTTGAAACGATCAGTTCACTCCAATCTGTGTCTTAGGTGTAACATTTGAGTGCAGTGAGTGCACTCGCTGGAGTTACAGGAGTGACGCTGTTTGGTGGTGGCTGTCTTTTCAGCTATGACACACGCCGGCGCTGATGAAACATTGATGCTGATGCAGTAAGAGTATTCCACAACAATTGGCGTGACAAAACACTATCACAGGATAACGATGTGAACTTATGAATCATGTGTTTTGATTTTTAAGGCAGTGGAACGAGCTATCAGCTGGTCAAGAGTCACCACTTGTAATTTCACCCTCATGAAGTACACTTTCAAACCGCTTCATTTCCCACTGTTGTCTTTGAACAAAGTGAAATTCATGAGATGACACAGGTTTTTTTTTTTTTATTCAGAAGCAGGACTATTTATTTTTAGAATAACATCAACGACCAAGACGCCTTCTTCAAAGTCTGTTTTTCTCAAACTGCTAACATAACAAGCAGACACATCAAACCGTGTTTCAATAAAGATTCATTATGTACGCAGCAGAACAAAAAGGGAACCGAGAACTGCATCTCATACATATACACGCTGTTGTCATGAAAGTGCAAGTGATTTGTTTTTGAGTTTGCGTTCCCCTGAGACGGTTTGTGTGTCAGAGTGAGGAGGAAGAAGCAGAGAGAGCAAAACAAGTGTGACAGTGATGTGATGGAGTGTGTGTTATGATCAGACGCAGACACATCGACCGTGTCTGTGTCTTTGTTTATGTGCCGGTGTCCCACACTCAGATGTAGCTTGTGTAGTTATCACTGTTAAGAAACTGTTAAACTGTATTAAAGTCAGCTTGTGTTCAGTTGTCATGAAAATAGAAATGAGCTGGAGAGACAAAAAACATTTTGGTTTTTTATCTTGACTTTCAATGAGGAGCCTGATGGGCCAATATGACATGTCGGACACCTGCTACAGACACTCACTTTGAAGAGGAAAAGTGCACAGGAAGTGAGGTGGAATGAAAAAAAACCCTGTATTCTATGGATTTCTGAACCCATTTAGCCCCGACTTGACTTTGTAAATGTACTCAGATGCCTGCTCTCCGAAATAAATGTATTCAAGAACATAACTCATCAGAAATTGCGACTCAATGTAGTTCAAACCTCCAACCAATAAGCTGTGATGCTCTGCAACATGTGCAGAAGTCAGTGCAGACAGGAAGTAAAAAACACCTCAATTTGACTGAATGATTGCAGTTCCAGTGTGTTTGCTCCAGGAGAGAGAGAGAGTGAGTGTGTGTGTGAGTATGAGTATGAGTGTGAGTGTGAGTGTGAGTGTGTGTGTGTGTGTGACATTACCTGAGGGCAGCAGACAGTCCAAAGGCGTAAACTCGTCATCCATCGCTAAAATCCAGTAGACCTCTTATCAATTAGCCGACTGACCCAGAACTGAGGAGAGAAGGACAGACACTGTTGCTATTGTTCTTGTGTTTCTCTTTTTCTATTTTAAACTCAATCTCAAGTTAATAATTCATAATAACACTAAACCTGAGCCCTGTATAAGCAGTCCATGCACAGTACTGAACTTGTTTTAAATTAATTTAGAGTTTTATTTTGAGCCTTTTGTCTTTATTATCATGTTTTTATGCATCCCTTGATTTCTTTAAGGCTCATCTTGTCTTGTGTTATGTGTTTATAGTAGGTTTCATAGAGCTGAGTGATTTCTCTGCACTTTTGCGCCTGGGAAAATTCCCCCCTTAGGACAATAAAGTATCTTATTATAATTATACTTAAGAAAAAAAACAACTCTTACATTGGATAATCTGCCATCATTAAATGTGGGGCCTCTTTGATTAAAACAAGCTTTCAATAAGATCACAAAAACAAAGCAGTGAGACAGATTTTCTTTCTCATGGGCGACTAACTGAAACAAAACATTTCCTCTGATGAAGAGGGATCAAGCCCATTAAGAAGGATTATTATTACAGTCAATCCAGTGATTTGTCACTTTCAACAACATGAATGGCTCTGACTTTGATATCACTAACAAACTAAAGAGACAAAGGCTGGACACCCACCACTGCTTTACATCTAAATAACATCGAAAGGTAACTCTTAGTCTTTATTAGTTTAACTTAAAATGAGATCTTCACAGCTTCTCCTAACTTAGTTTCACTTGTTACAAACATCTCCAAATACAAACATTGTGAAAGCGACTAATTCAGGTCTTTATATTGTGAGAAAAACCTGTTTTTTTCCCCCATAATCATGTCACGTTATTAAACGGAATTTAAATGGTTAAACGCCAGTAATTACTATTATTTATATTTATTTATTTTAATTACTATTATTTATTTACATACAGAAGTTTCACTATATTGTTATAAAAGGGGTCAATATATTGTATCATGGTATGTTTAATTATTTGTATTATCATTTTATTTGTAACCAAATACTGTTCCCGTGGAAACCGGACTTTGACATCCCGACCAGACGCTTCTCGTTCCGTTTCTCCTCTTCAGCTCCGTGCACAACGACCGAGACCAACCATACACACGCTGAATGCTGAGTGTTATCACAAAAAACAACACACGTGTGGACACGGCTTTTCAATACTTAAGAACCGACATCACGTGTTAAAGCAGTCATTGCAGAGTTTCGTAAATATTTGTGAAAAAACTCACAGAATGAAGAGACTTCCGCCATTGATGTTGTAAACAGTCAACGAGAGCACAGAGAGCTGACCGCAGCTGAGGGATGGAGTGGTGGGAATCTGTGACGGCGACACCTCGAGGTCAAAAGTGGAACTGCGCCTCGCTTTGAACATTGCTCCTAATCAGGGATGAATACTTTTCATATGTAGAAATCTGAAATTAAGTGATGAATAATATAAGTTCAGAAAAAAAACAGATAATGGCATAAACCTAGTGATTTAAGAGTAATTAATGGTCCGCACCTTATATTTTATGCAGCACAACCTCACACTCACTTTACACAAGGAAAAAACAGTGAGACTAAACACAAATTACCAAAATATAATTGTGTAAAAAAAAAAGTCCCACAGACAGAACAAACCTACAAAAGGCAAAAACACTTAGAGGTGAACAAACATCATGACAGGCAGCAGAGTGACGGTGTGTGTTTGAGATATCTTCAGACAGCAGGAGAAGTCGTGTAAAGTGAGAATCCAAATCTCTCTCAAGGTGATTCCACTCCCGAGGCTCGTTAAAACAAACGTCCTCTCATCAATCAGCACCGATCCTGTCTCCCAGACAGGCTGCACATGATGGGAAATCGCACACACGCATGCGCGCACACAAACACACTCAGCACACAGTTCACAGGCATACACGCACACTCATGCTATGTGAAGATGCATGGGAAGTCATTCCTTCTGTGGGCATGCATTATAAATACATCAATGAATAAATTCCCGGCTGAATGCATTCTTCATTGGCTGTTTCTTTTTTTTTACAAGGCCACACCAGCTGAATGTTTGATCAGATCTGTCTCCTCTCTCTGCACTTTGTCTAACTAGCTCACCCTTCCTTGTCCATCAATATTTCCAATATTTACCCTTTTCATTTATTAATCTGCTTGCTCATTTCTCCCTTTATTTTGAAATATTTTTGTACAACATCTACAGTCTTTATCTCACTCTCCCATTGTGTTTGTGTACATCTTGTTTCATGTTCCACTGAGCAGCTTTCATAAGAATGAATGGGGCCCTGCCTCCAATACTGAATCCATTCTATAATACATCGATAGGATGTTATGTCACAAAGTAACACCATGCATCCAAAAACCAAGACTCAGTACACAGAGTGTGCACAGTAAAAGCAAACAGGTAGTTATTCAGTTCACCTGCTCATAAAAGAGCACAGAGTAAGAATTATTACTGGACTTTTTAATTTAATTTTGTCTTCAAGGTCATACCTCAGTGAAGCGACTGTGTTTGTGCTGGGTTCAATTTAATACCTGCTATCAGTGGAAACACAAGTCACATTATTACCCTGCTCACCCCTGGCAGAATACACCTGTTACTGTGACAGATAATAAAACAAGAAAAGGAGGACACACTAACCGAAATGTAAATCCAAGTCTCTCCATACAGTGTAATCCTCCCTATCCTTACTCTACTTCCATGTCATTTCTTTTTAACCAGTTTTTTATTCCCTTACTAATGAGCTTTCATTTGGTCTCGTCTTTATTCCTTTTGTCTGTCTTGCCTATGTCCACTCCCCTTTTGGTCTGTACCCCAACTTTAGGTTGAGTCTTATGATGGGCAAACACAATATGGTGCAGTATTTCACCAGAAGATGGAATTCCAAGGTAGCCAAAAGGGGCAAAGGCACTGAAACAGTGCGAGGTTAACAGTAGGAGAAACAGGCATCAATCATTCAGATAGGCCTTATACTTACAAAAGATCAAACCTCACATTTAAGTCAAAAGCACACCTGGAAAATCACAACAGAAGTTCTCCAGGCCTTTAGGAGGTAACTTGGACTGCGGCACATTTATCATGTTTAGCACATTTATTTTCTAAGTCTTTCAGAATTCAAAGCCTGTTTCTAGGCTTTTTTTTTAGTCTTTGCTCCATGTTGGCCACCTTAGTTTTCTCAAATACAGCACTAAGGAACGGGTCATTCAGACCAAGGAGGGCTGATAACAGGGGATTAGACCCACAGAGTCAAAGTGGAGGTGGCTGCTCTTTTAACTCCCACACATGGATAGGGCAATGATTATTAGCATCTTAATAGTTTCTTTCTTGGCACTGCCTTGCTGTACATATTCCGCCAACAGGACTTTTCCCATATATCCAAGAGAAACGGGTGGATTTCTCTATGGTCATGATATCATTGCCTAAGGGCTCGTGTCCAGAAGCAGGAGTAAAGACCGACCTTGAGTGTTTGGCTGGCACCATTCCAGCTGCAGCTATAAACTCATATCTGTTGAGTAGGCTGGTGGATGTGCTGTTACAGAGGAGTTCATCCATTTCCTCCCCCCCAACATGAAAACAAAAATGAGCGGTGTAGGTTATTAATCTTTCGTGCCACTGATTCTACACATCTGGCCCGAGGGCACCCTGGGAAGTATACATTAGTGGATGGTGTAATATCAGGTGTAGAGACATTGATGGTGTTCTAGAAGCCTGCCGTCCAAAAATGATTACTCCACCTGTGTGTGCTGCTACAACCTAAAAAAAAGTGTAATTTTTTATTTCTTTGTATCACAATCTCTGTCACCTAGGGGTGGAGAAAAGAAGAGCTGGACTCAACTGGACTGACCTATAACTACTGGAGGGGTTATAGGGAAGCTGTTGGGGGCCATGAGATGCAGATGATGCCTGATTGCTGTTTACCTGATTCTACCGACTTTGTCTGAAAAAAATCTATTTCAAATGATGCAGAATACGTGGGAGCTCATTAAGCTTCACTACAAAAAAAGGACATTTGTGTTCCTGAAGTTTGTGTTTAGCATTCAGAAACAAAGTGCTTTAGAGGGACACAATGAACAGCTGGTTCTTTAAAACAATGTTGGCTTACTTTTATGAAGACGAGTAAAAGAGACAGTGAATGCATTTAATCATCGTTTGTTAAGGTTTTAGACAACAAGTGGCTCATTATTTGTGTACCTCTCTTTTGCTCAGCATACTTTCTGTAGTGTTTTGATTTTTTTTCCTTAACCAGTCCATATTAAAAAAGGGTGTAGGATGAAGATAAATAACTTATCCAGTCATCCTTTTATCTTTTTATCTTAATTAATCCAATGCTAAGCTTTACAAAATAAAGTCAAATAATACAGATAACGAAGTAACAAAAGCAACGGATATAATGTATTACACACATTAATTTGTAGACGGTACAGACCTTATAACTGATATTGATTCAATTCTTCCCATTGACTGCTCAATTTTATATTTGTTAAATATGTTATTCTTGAAAATGTGTTTAAACTGTCCTAATGTTTCACTTGTTTTCATTTCATCACTGCAGCTGTTCCATAAATTAACACCCTTCATTGTAATATAGTGTAGTTTCATGTTGGTCCTTACTGCTGGTTCTCAGATTGTGTTTACTGTCCCTCTGCTGAAAAAACTTTTGGATACTGTTCGGTATCTGATCATTTTGAACTTTGCACATGATTTGAGTGGTTTTAAAGTTTCAGTGTTTTCAGTTTGATGAAGAGTGGGTTGGTTGGTTCTCTGTAGTTGGTGTTAGTTATAATTCTTATGGCTCTTTTCTGGAGAATGAAAACTGGTTCTGTATTTGTTTTGTACGTGTTCCCCCACACTTCCACACAGGAACTAATATATGGGAGTATTAGGGAGCAGTACAACGTGTAAAGTGACTGTTGATTTAACAGCCCTTTCACTTAAAATAAAATTGCAGTACATTTCGATATTTTTGCCTTAATGTATTGTATGTGTGATTTCCAGGATAATTTATTACAGTAACTCCAAGAAATGTTATTTCAGCCACTTTTTCAATTTCCGCATCATTAATCACAAGTTTCTTGGTCAAGCCAGTTGATCGGTTCCCAAAGATTATAAATTTGGTTTTACTTAAGTTCAATGTTAGTTTATTTGAGTCAAACCAACTCTTCAGTTTCTTTAATTGATTTACCACTGTATCCAAAAGTTTTTTCCAGATTGTTCCCACAGCATAGTAAGTTTGTGCCATCTGCAAATAAAATAGTTTTTAAAATACAGGAGACTTCACATATGTTATTGATGTACAGAAGAAATAATAATGGCCCCACAACTGAACCTTGGGGAACTCCACACTTTAACTTCATGTGTTCTGATTGAACCTGATTGATTTGAACATATTGATATCTGTTGTCTAAGTTACTGGTGCAATTCCTCTGATTCTCCTCTGATTATGCCGTAGGAGAACTCCTATGGCATAATCTTTGTTTTCGACGGTTGTTGTGATCTCTTGATCTCTTGTTGTGCCATTGAAGTGGTCCTGTTGTTTCTAAATCGATATTGTTGATCATACAGTATATTGTGTTTAGTAATAAAATCATGTAGTCTTACATAGTATAGTTTTTCCAGTATTTTAGAGAATTGTGGCAGTAAAGAGACTGGTCTGTAGTTTGAGAAAATGTGTTTATCGCCTGATTTATATAATGGTATAACCTTAGCAATTTTCATGTTATTTGGAAAGACACCATTTTTCAGGGATTGATTGCAGATATATGTGAAAGGTTTTATCCCAAAGTTAATGATACGTTTCACCGATGTCATATCAATATTGTTGCAGTCTGTTGAGTTCTTACTTTTGAATCCTTTAACAACATCAATAATTTCTTTTTTTTATCAGTGCCTTTCAAAAACATGGTATCTATTGTATTTATAGTTTTCCTCTCCACTTCATTTCTGTTGCTAGTGCTTGAAATCTCTCTTGCCAGACCTGGCCCGATGCCAACAAAAAAAATCATTAAATTCATTTCCTGTTAAGGTAATTTCATTGATAGTTTCATTGGTTTTAGGTAGGAAATAGTTTGGGTATCCTGTTTTTCCAGACCTTTTTCTTTTTCAGATACATGCAGCAGAAATGAGTTGTAGACCCAGATACCCAGAGTTTGGTGGAGGGATTATATATCCCGTCTGGCCTGGGAATCCCCCAGGAGGAGCTGGAAAAAGTTGATGGGGAGAGGAAAGTCTGATTAGACTTTCTTAACCTGCTGTCACCATGACCCTCGGATAGGCTGAAGAAAATGGATGGATGGATGGGCACTGAAGATGATGGGGGAAAACGTTGCTTCAGTCCCTTGAGGCTTCAAATTCAGCAGACCTGAGGGGTTAGAATTGTCTAATTGTCTTGATTTGAGGATTTTTCTGACTAGAGTTTGTTGTCCCTGGGTTTATTGTATAGTTGGCTCTTTTATACTGTGCATTTAAAAAAAAAAGTATTTAATCAGATTTTTATCACAGCTCTTAGAAAGCAAAGAGTCAGAAGGAGGGAAGTGAAAAGGGGGGGAAAAAACCTTTCAGGAAGGCAAAAAGACATTCAGAGAGGAAACCAGAGAAGAAAAAGTAAAGTTTTTTTTGTGTGTGACAGACTCAGAGTAGAGTAGATTACCCTGTAAGAGCTGCTGCTGGGGCTGGATTTAACCTATAAGCAATCTTCCTGGAGTATATGCCCGTGTGTGGTT